TATGCAGGGAATGGTGATGTGGGAGCCAGGAGAGCAGAAACCCAGTTCCACAGGCCTCCCAAAGCCATCCCCTTCCCTACCCCGTGACCCAGTGAAGCAAGGGATAAAGTCCCACAACAGGAGGGACAGAAAGCAGACAGCTGGCTGGAAGGACATAATCTCGGGACAATAAGTAAGTCCTCTTGCCAGGCACGGTGGCTCACACCTGTAATCCCAGCACTCTGGCAGCCGAGGCAGATAGATCGCCTGAGCTTAAGAGTTTAAGACCAGCCTAAGCAAAAGTGAGACCTCATCTCTACTAAAAATACAAAAACCTCTAGTCCGGTGTTGTGGTGGGCACACAACACTGGACTAGATACCTTGAAACCAAGAGTTTGAGGGTGCTGTGAGCTATGACGCCAAGGCCCTCTACCCAGGGTGAAAGAGTGAGACTCTCTCAAAAAAAAAAAAAGAAAAGAAAAGAAAGAAAAACTAGTCCTCTCAAAGAAAAGAGGGTCAGATGGGCATAGTGGTTCACATCTAAAATCCTAATACTCTGGGGAGGCTGAGGCTAGTGGATCGCTTGAGCTCAGGAGTTCAAGACCAGCCTGACCAAGACCCTATCTCTACTAAAAAAAGAAAAGAAAAGAAAAGAAAAACCTAGCCCTGTGCTATGGTGGGCAGCTGTAGTCCTGGCTATTCAGGAGGCTGAGGCAAGAGGATCAGTTGAGCCCAAGAGTTTGAGGTTGCTGTGAGCTATGATGCCACTGCGCTCTAGAGAAAGTAACAGAGAGAGGCTCTGTCTCAAACAACAACAACAAAAAAACACCCCAGAGTCATGAAGAAAATGATGGTTTAGCTCAGCCATGAGCTGAGAGTGCCTGAAACTAACCTGCCAAGGCCAGGAGAACTGGAGGGAGGCCCACCTCCTTGCCAGCCCAGGGCTGGGCCAGGCCTTTCCCTATCTGATGTTTCCGTATCTGTCATCTCTTGCCTTCTGTCATGCAGTGACTTGCGTTCTTACTCTCCCTCTGGCTTCCTTGCCAACGTGAGGTTAAACGCCTACTCATTAGGAGCCGAGGATGAGCCACCTACTAGAACACTTCTCACACACACCGAGAATCTAGGCCATCATCTACGCACCTTTTCTAATTTGGGACGTGCTACCCAAGATGTGGGATCCTGGGGTACTTCTGCCTACAAACCATCCATGGCTTCCCATCCCCTGTGCACAGAGAAATGCACAGGGAGCAGAAATAGATCTGTTACCCGTACCGCCTGATGAATGCAGGCAGGACACTTCCACTCTGTGTAATTAACAGTTCTAAAACCGGCGGATGAGTCAATTTAACACAATCTCACTCAAAAACCCGAGAAGGCACACGGCAATTGCTGACATGCTTGCTTGGTGACGTTTCCAGAGGTACTTAACCGAAACCCCAGGCACTGAGCTCTCAGACTGTACGAGAACATATCCTTTTATTTTCTACCCTCCTTTAGATCAATTTAATCATCTGCAAAACAGTAAGGGAGAACCACAGCCTAAATTATGGAAGTAAGACGCCTGCTCTTTTTAAGTCTCAACTTTTGACCTTCACATTCCCACTGCACTACCCAGCGCAAGAAAAGAAATTATCCGTTATGATCTTGTGTTTGTGGGGAAGAGTGTGATTATAGAGGAATTTACAGGAAATCAAAAAGGCACTGCTTGAGAGAATGGAAAACAATAAAACAGTCACAGAAAGGAAATGAATGACACCCAAACAAAAATGAGAAAGTGAGCTCCCCTGCACCCCGACAGGCTACTGGCGACTCCCAAGCAGACAGCGGGAGCCGGGACGCGTGCGGCTGCACACCCGTGGTACTCCATCCTGCTCCACCCTGGCCTTGGCACAAGGTCCACTGCTAAGGGCCCAAGCATCCCTGTGCATCTAATGGGCCAAGCCTGACCTGAGAGAAAGGCTGACACTTAAGCAGGTCTCACCCTCAAGGGCGAGGTGGGGGTGGGTCCAGCCAAGGTTCCTGGAACCAACAGCCTGGGATCAACTGGCTTTTGGGGGGAAAGTCACTCAGTTCCTTGTGCCTCAGTTTCCTCATCTGCAGCATGGGGATAACTAGGACACCTACCAACATAAATGAAACACCTCTTTAAGGTAACATGAGGTAAGTGTTTAGCACAGTACATTGAACACAGGGGTTCTCAGCAGTGACAGTCAGTAGTAAAACGTGCCAGCACCTGACTTACCCTCTCATTCAAACCTCAAGCCACCCACTAACACTGCAGGTGAGGGACCTGAGGCTGGGTGCATCTCCACACCCATACCATAAGTTAGAGACGTGTTACTACATCTCCGTTTTACAGACTGAGAGCTAAACTCTGTGGCACACACCTGCAATCCTAGCACTCTAGGAGGCCGAGGCAGGTGGCTCCCTTGACCTCAGGAGTTTAAGTCCAGCCTGAGCAAGAGTAAGATTCCATCTCTACTAAAAGATAGAAAAACTAGCTGGGCATCATGATGGGTGTCTGTATTCTCAGCTACTTGGGAGGCTGAGGCAGGAAGATCTCTTGAGCCCAAGAGTTTGAGGTTGCAGTGAGCTACAATGACGCCACTGCACTCTACCCAGGACAAAAGAGTGAGTGTCTGTCTTGGGGTGGGGCGCAGGTATTAACTGAAACTCAGAAAAGTGACTTTGCGAGGAGAGGGCAAGCTAAGGTTATAACCTGGGTGTCTCCAAGTTGATGTTTTCCGTTACCCCCAGGCAGCTTCCTGCCACTGGGCCCCATAAAGAGAGGGTAATGAAAGCATTCAGGACACAGGGCCCAAGCAATGTCACTGAGTCATAATTTAACACCATGGGAAGGGACGTGCCCACCATTCCACCTAGAATCCTCCCGTCGGTCCCTGAGGGCAGTGATCAGGACTACAGAGAATCCACTGAGAGTGTCTGGGACCCAGGCTATTAAAACATACCCCTGAGGCAGCAACGTGACATTTCTAAAATAATTCTGCTGCCGTCAAATGCCAAATAAATCCTTTCTGCCGCTCCCTTTAATAAAGTTGGGAGGCATTCTCATGAACACAGACTCTGCCTCAAAACCTCGGAAACGTCACTACAATTGAAGTGTGCTTGTTGCAAAGTGAGGAGCTGACGACTCAGTGCTCCGGAGATGTTGGAGTGCACGACCCAAATGTGGTCTCCAAAGCACCTACATTGTGAGTGACCACCAGGGAACAGCACATGCGACCTGGGGCCCTCTCTGCATCCCTGGAATTTATTCTTCTGCCAGCTGGGATGGGAACTTCCTGACATAGGGCCTCAATCTCCTCAGGTGTTCTGGCCATAAGGGTACTGGGCTGAGGCTGCTGACAGCCAGTAGGGCCCACTCGGCCTCTGACTCTCCTGAGCGGCATACCAACACCTGTCGGCAACCTCAGATCCCCACCTCTGCCCTCCTTCTCTCCCAGTGGCACCTGCTTCAGCTCCAACACCCCCAAACAAGTACCGGATCTGTCCTGGCATCTGCCCATCTCTGTGACACAGCACCCCCTGTGCAGAGTCACCGTCAGCTCCACCCCTAGCTCCACCATCAGCCAGCTCCTCCCAGAAGCCTTCCTCTCAACCGCTGCTCTCACTCAGATCAGCCACACCGCCACCCTCCACTCCACCTGGGCCCCTGCCACAGTCCAACAGGCCACCTGTTCCCATTCTTACCCTGCAGCAGAGTCACCCGTCTGTGGCCAAAATCATTTTTAAAAACGCAAACCTGATCCTACCATTCTGTTGCTTAAATCCATCAAGGATTTCTCACGCTTCCCATTTCTCTCAAGTCAAAACTCACCAACGCCTGCCCAGCCACCGACTATTTCTCTGACCATCCGACCCCAGGCCCCACTGGCTCTGCTCCAGCCACAAGAAGCCATCAACCTTTCTCCTGTCTCTCAGAACAAGTGATCCCCCGGGCTCCTGCATTTCCCCCAGCCAACTGCTGCCTATCCTCCCGGACACAGCATCCCCAAGCTCCAGATCAGGTGAGGTGGAGCTCCCAGCTAGCTGGGGAAACATGATCACATGGAAGTAGGATGAGACATGAAAAGTGGCCTCACTCCCGTCTACAGTCCCGGTAAGAGCAGCCATCCAACAAAGAAAAAAATTTCTGCTGCATCAAAGGGCAACTCAATGGCTTAGAAAGAAAACTCTGCAGCATATCTGAGTTGAAGGGCCACTTCCAGGGCCCACAGAGGCAACGTCCAGCCGAAAAGGCTCACCCTGCAGCCAGCAAACAGAAACCAGGTGTGCTGAGGTAAGGGCTGCCTGTATCACCAACAAAAGAAAGACGGTGAGGGAAGAACATGTATGTACAGCAGGATGCCACCTCTGTCAAGAGACAAGTGTGACATGAGGAAGACAAGGGGATTACGTGTGAATGAGGTCACTTCTGCCCTTTCCACTTTCTTTCTGAGCTACAGCATACTACAGCCTTACTTACAGCAGGAGTTTTTTAAAGACTGGAAACAAAGAGGGTGAAGAGAGAAATTTAATTGATATTTAAGTAACTCACTCCCTTTTGAAAAAACCGGCCAGCCTCAGCACCTGTGGCTCAAGCGGCTAAGGCACCAGCCACATACACCTAAGGTGGCGGGTTTGAATCCAGCCCAGGCCACCAAACAACGATGGCTGCAACCAAAAAATAGCTGGGCGTTGTGGTGGGCGCCTGTGGTCCCAGCTACTTGGGAGGCAGAGGCAGGAGACTCGCTTGAGCCTAGGAGTTGGAGGTTGCTGTGAGCTGTGATGGCACGGCACTCTACCCAGGGGGACAGCTTGAGGCTCTGTCTCAAAAAAAAACCCAGCCAGCCAGTCAACAACAACAAACAAACAAACAAAACGATTAAGGCTAAAGGAAGAGGTTCTGGAGACCAGCTTTCTGAGGGACTCTGCGAGATGGGGTGAGCAACAACAGCAGGGTCTCCTGTCCCCATGAGCTGAGCACAACAGTCAAGGTGGCTACAGGTAACACTCACCACTCAACGATCTCTGGGTGAAGAATGGTGTTGTTGACATTGAACCTATGGAGGAAAAATAAAGCGAGCCCATTAGTTCAATGGTCTATCACGTAACACATGACATTCAAGACATACATATCGCAATCAAGAGAGGGTCCCAAATTTTAATTTCCTGACTCGGTGACTGGCGAAGGCCTGCTGCTATTTCCTGCAGCAGACTTGGAGTCCGGGTTTCGTGTCTTCCAAGTACAGTTAGTAGGAGAGCAAGCTTTTTGGCTGCACAACACCACGCCCTACCCCTACGCTGACAGAAAGAGCATAGCCTCTTCTGTCAAGTATACGGAATACAAATACCAGGAGTGACAGAAGGAAAAGAGAGAAAGGAGCTAAAAGAATATTTGAAAAAACAATGGCTGAAAACTTTGCCAGTTTGATGATGCACATTAATCTATCAATCCATAAAGCTCAATGAACTCCACGTAGGATAAATTCAAAGAGGTCCACACCTAGACACATCACAAGGGATCTCACTAAGATTAATGACAGATTTCTCATCAAAAAGTATAGAGGACAGAAGGCAATGGGTGACATATTCAAAGTGCTAAACAACAAACAAAAAATGTCAACCGAGAATTCTATATCCAGCAAAGCCATGCTTCAAAGTCGAAGAACAACACATGGCTCATGCCTGTAATCCCAGAACTTTGGGATGCCTAGGTAGGAGGATCACTTAAATCTATGAGTTCCAGGCTGCAGTGAGCTATGATTGCACTACTGTACTCCAACCTAGGGGATAGATTAAGACCTTGTCTCAAAACAAAACAAAAACTAAACTAACTATATACTTTAAATGGGTAAACTATAAGGTATGTGAATTATATCCTAATAAAACTTTTCTTAAAAACTTACTAAATTATGCATATAGTGAATTTCATTGTATATAAATTTTATTTCAGTAAAGTCAATTTATAAAAATTGACAGAACAGGAAGGAAAAATCCACAGCATAGTTTGAGATTTTCACATATCTCTTGTGATAGAACAATGAAACAGAAACCAACTGAGAAGGATGTCAAAGATATGAACAATACAATTAGCCAACAGGATAATTTAACATTTACAGAACACTACAGCCAACAATGGCAAACATATGCTTTTTAATTAATCATGAAACATTTATCATAATGAACATACACTAGAAGTTTCAACAAATGTTAAGGGTTAAGATTCAGAGACCCGTTCATTGACCACAGTTAGGATTAAACTGCAAATCAATTAAAGGAAGGAAAATATAAAATCTCAACTTATTTGGAAATTAAGCAACAGACTTCTAAAAACCCACTGTTCAAAAACAAAAGTCACAACAAAATTAGAAAGTAAAAATATGAAATATCTGGCTCGGCGCCTATAGCTCAATTGGCTAAGGCGCCAGCCACATACACCTAAGGTGGCGGGTTCGAATCCCCAGCCCGGACCCGCCAAACAACAATGACGGCTGCAACCAAAAAAATAGCTGGGCGTTGTGGCGGGCGCCTGTGGTCCCAGCTACTTGGGAGGCGGAGGCAGGAGACTCGCTTGAGCCCAGGAGTTGGAGGTTGCTGTGAGCAGTGATGCCACGGCACTCTACCCAGGGGGACAGCTTGAGGCTCTGTCTCAAAAAAAAAAAAAAAATATGAAATATCACAACCTGTGAGATGCAGCTAAAGCAGTTCTTACAGGAAAATGTATAGCTCTAGGTGTATCTACTAGAAAAGAACACTGAAAATCAATGACCTTCGCTTCTATCCTAACAACACTCCTTTTTTCCTTCCCAAGAAGCTAGAGAAAGAGAAGCTATTAGAAGGAAATTTAAAAGAACAGAAAATCAGGGAAATAAAAAGCAAATATATGAGGAAGAAACATCTACAAAACCAAAAACTGCTCTTTGATAAGGTGAATATAATTGAAAAGGTAACCCCAGGTTTCAAAAGGACGAGGTCAGGGCACATCAAGAGAGCCACATGTGACCCAGAGCTCAACCTACTGGTGAGAGAGCTGGGGAGGAACAACGTGGCCCAGCCCAGGTCTAGGCCTCAGCTGAGAAGCCTCAGCAAGACTTCAACGCTCTGGATTCCAAGATCTGCTCCACCACATATTAAGTACGTGCAGAGTTGCGACTTCCTGTCCTCCTGCAAGGCAGGAACTCTCCATGGCTCCATTAAAGGTGTTGGAAAGCGCTACCTATTGCCATGGTTGAGACCAGCAGCCCTACTCCTGGCTGAGCCAGCTGAACAGGAGGCAGGCACAGGGGAGATAGGGGTACTGGCAGGCTGAGAGGATTCCAGATACCTGAAAATTTCAGGATTCTTAATACACAGACAAGACTACTTGATTCACAGTCAACTTAAATGTTGTAAAATCAAAGCCCTATTTGAAATATCAAAGACACTACAGGCAGTCAGGATGAAGAGCAGGGAGCAGATGACATAAATCAAGATGACAAACAGACTGCCTCCTCCTTCACCAATGTCACTTTGACTTTAGGAAAAGCGGTGGCCTACATACTCAATAGCCAAACACACCAGCATAATTTCACTTTACCCGATGCATGCGAGTACACACACACACACACACACACACACAGAGACAGGCCTATGCTTAGGAAAGAGGCGCACGCCAACACACACCGACAGACGGACAGTCGTATGTGCACACATACCTGCACAGACACACGTGTACATACCAATCAATGCACGCGAAGATGTACACATTTAGGGGAGTATAGACACACACAGATATACACACACACATATTCAAACAGGCTTAAACTTAGATGCATAAAGAGTCACACCCACATACACACACTCACAAAGACACGTGCAGGCTGATGTATATACACAGACAGACCCACGCACACCACATTCAGACACAAAAACATACTCAGAGAAACACACTCGGACACATATGTAAGTGTCCAAAAGACAGTGCTGAGAGACTGAACTCTGAGTAATGAAATTCAGATATTCCTTGTTTTTGCCTCTGTGCTAGTCAGCAATTTGTACAATGACCATTAATGACCATGAGGTAAAAATAACAACAAAACCCCACAGGTGCCAGTTAGGGTGGCAATGTCCTGGAAACAGAGGGTAATTTTCCGGGGGGCTCTAAACACAGGCTGGGGGATAAAGGGTGAGCTGTGTGGGCCCAAGCCCCTGTTGTAGGCCTTGCCTTTCTCCCCGGGGTTTCTAACCCAACAACAGAGGCAGGACCCCCAGCCCCCAACTACTCTACTGCCCACAGGGGGACTGCCTTGGGTTCTTAACTCTTCTGGGTAACCCCTCATTGAGATTTCCATGGGCCACATTAGAAACCCAATCTCACATATTAACTGGATATACCAGTTAACAGCAAGCAGGAAGCCATGGTCCCCAAACCACAAATTGGCATTTTGCTATAATCGTCAAGTTTTAATAATGTCCCTCTACTTCTTGGGTTTTAAAATTCACGTCTTTGAATATTAATATTCCTGCATTAACAACCCCCCAATTCAGCATTTCATCTTTAACTGCTTATTTAAATGGAATTAATTTGTAACTGATTGTCTTCAGCTATGCCAGGCAATTTAAGTAAATGCCAAAAGATAAGAAATATGCTTATCCTGAACCAGCTGACATGAAATATGGACCGTCTTCCTGAGACAATGCCGTGGAACAAGAGTCCCCTGAGAGTCATGCCCCACCAGTCCAGGGTTCCAGACACAGACTCTGCATGTTTGGAGGGAAATGTCTTAGACTTGACAGTCACCTGCTGAGCCCTGCAAACCTAATGAATGGGTGGCCCCCCTATCTCAGGCACCTGCACGCCTCAGACCATCTCTCTCACTTCAGTCTCCTGCTCTCAGGAAAATATGCCCTGTGGTCCACCTCCTCATGATACAGGGCACCCCTGCTCAGGGCTGGATAGAGACCCCTATTTTCTAGATTGGGGCAAACAGACTTTTTCCAGACTGCACTCTCCAGACACAGTGGCATCAGAAAAAGCAGCCTGGCCAGTACCTTATCTGGGCAGCCCCTCCTCAACTGAAAAACATGCACCCTGCTGCTTTGCCTGGGGCAAGGACAGTGAGAAGGAAATTCATTTGCTAATTCATTCATTCTCTAATGAACAAGGTCAGAATGCCTTCTGTCTGCCGGCTCCGGCCAAGAGTGACATATATTCTCAAGACCCATGACCTGCTTGCAGGCAGTATGTGAACCCCTAGACCAAAGACGCATGTGGGCTTTTCAACTTAGGAATTCCCCCACTCTGCTGATGGAGGCTTTGTTACCCTTCTATGTCTTTCTCTGTAAATAAACTTTGTCCTATCACTTACTCGCATAGTCTGGGGTTTCATTCTTGAACCTCCAGAATGGTGGAGAATGGTGGACCAGAATGGGCTGGTCACAGAGAGAAAAATGCCGGTAACACCCAGATGCTCAGAGAACCCCACGCCTCCCTGTGCTCCCAGCCTGCGGGCACCAAGTGCTCCAGGCAGCCGCAGACCACAGGAAGAAGTCTTAGGGCCTGCTTACTGAAGAGCCATCTCCCCTCCCAGCTCCCCAACCCCTAGCCCACAGACCAGCCCTGCTCCATGCCCTCGCCCAGACCTGGGAGTGGGCACCTGACCCCACCCACATATCCCAGCCTCCTGCCAGAGCCCACAGCAAGGTCTGCTCCTTCTAGACCTTCCGTGGGACTCTCTCTGCTGGGATCAAGCCATATATAGAGCTGCACCCAAAGCTGGGCCAGACCCCAAACTCAGAATGAGCCCCACCACCAGCACCAGCACTACCACCACCACTTACTTCCATGGCCTTGTTATAACCACTCTAAGCCACACCCCTTGGTGAGCCCAGTGGCCCAGACCACAGAAGTTCCCTGGGCCTCCTAGGCCTTGAGCATGTCTTCAGCTCGATGTGTCCTCTGCTCCCTGTCTCCTACAATCCTCACCACCATGAGACCCGGCACACTTCAGCCATGAGAACAGGCAGCCTGGCCCAGCACAACCCTGATATGGGGAGACTGAGGGAGGTCTGAGACCAAGGCAGAGCCCAAGTGGGACAGGCAACCTGAGTGGCCACATCTGGAGAAGTCATAAGCCCACAGTCCAGCTGGACCAGGGCCCACAGGTGAGACCACCATTCTACACAGGTGAGACCACTGTTCTGCAACAAGTTCCTCCTTCTGCCAGCAGCCAAGGGATAAAGGTAGCTTGGGCGGCCCCCCAGGACAATGCAAGAGGCCAACCAGAGACCCAAAGTGGGAGGCGATCCAGAGACGCTGAAGAGCATCAAAAATGACAATCCGGGAATAAGGAGCTTTGTCAGGGCAGTGAGAGAAGACCAGGGGTGGAAGCAGTTAGAACTGTAAAGTAGGCAGCATGCCTCACCTTGCTCGTTCACAAGGGAAAGAGCAGGAGGCAGCTGGGGGCAGAGGTTGGTACCCATGGCACACAGTATTTGAGGCACCTGCTGATGGCCTCTGCCCCAGTGGAGTAACCCCAAAGGTAGAGTTACACAAGGGATGACACAGAGAGATGGGGCCCAGATAGAGGAAATGGGGGGTGGTGGGGACACCTGGAGGATGAGGCAGGGAGGGAGTACCACGAGTGGGCCAGAGAGCCAGGTGCAAGGGCACAGGTCTGCAGCACATCACCCAATCAGAGACCTCAGCCAGTACGACACTCGGGAATAGAAACTGATCCACCCAGCTCCTGGCATGAGGGGCAGTCTCTCAGCCAGCCCACCAGCTGAGGTACCTGGGGAGCACCCACAGTCAGCCCCCATCTGGACCGGATCATGGGCTGAAGAGGCACCAGCCTGGTGCTACGAAGCTGATGCAAAATTAGGGCAGTCCCAGTCCTCCAAAGTCTCCAGATACTGCCTGGGTGGGGCAAGAGAGTCTGAAGGGTGCAGGCCCCTCTGGGCTCTCAAAAGGGGCCATGGGGACGTAAGAGAGCAACAGGGGGCCGAGGCTGGGGTCTGCTGACTAGAGGAGAGGTCAGGGAAAGCTGCTAATGGGATAGGATGAGGCCTCTGTGTCCTGCCACCCACTGACACTGATGTTGTCCCTGGGGCAGCCCAGGCCCCACCTGCCGCTCTCTCGGAGGGGTGGTGGGAACCTTACAGAGCAGCCAGCAGAGCTGTGCTTCAGGGCCCACATTCTGAGTGCCACCAGAAACCACACTCATCACACCATTCTGGGGCCTGGCCCAGGAGCCCTCAGCGTTTTGTGCAGGAGACACCTTTAGGGGCAGGAGTAAGCAAGGACCTCACAGCTGAGAAGCCGCCAGCTCTCTGACATCTAGGAATCTTGCAATCACATGGGGAAACTGAGGCCTGATGGGGCAACAGGATTTGATGGGGTTCTGCTTGCAGGCAGCTGGGTACTGCACACTGGCGCTGCCAGGCTCCGGCTGAAGGTCGTCTCCTTTGGCCCGAGCAGCACCATGGGGCACTCAGAGGAGCTGAGGCTCAGCCCTGCCAGGACCACTGAGCCGATCAGTGAGGTGGCCACTGGGGCTCCCTCCCCCCAGTTTAAGGTTCTCACTAGGAGGCAGAGACCCAAGCAGAGCCCACAGAGACATTCCATAGCATGGCCGGAGGAAGGTGAGCAGGGCACTGGAGTGCTGGCAGCCCACTGTGCTGAGAGGACGCAGGGAGTCCTGGCCTGGGACAGGCAGCAGCGGGCTGTGCTCACGCTGGCGAGAGACGGCAGCTCCACGGCCAGCATTTCAACAAGCTGGGCTAGTTGCTGCCAGGCGTGGGAGGCAGGGTTGCTTTGGGGAAATTCCCAAGAGGATAAGGAGATTTGTGTGGTGGGAAGAAGCAAACCTGATTCCAGCTCCCCCTGCCCCATCACTCTTAGCATGGGGGGAAGCAATACATATTTATGAGCTCATAATCCACCCTAATCACCCCTCCATCGCACAGATACACACATTCCAGCGGCTCAGGCTCATACATAATTATAAGGTGCTTCCTCTGTCACCACCAAAGGACAACGGAGGACGCCAGGGCTGCAGAGCATGTGGGGGAGCAGGGACCAGAGCCCCAAGGAGCTGGGACCTCCTCTGCTGCAGCATCAGCCCAGGCCTACCTCCAGCCAACCTGCAGCACTCTCCAGTGGCAGATGGAAGGGGGTGGGGTGTGACAAGCAGGGAGAAGGGCTGCTTTCCTTGCACCCAACACTTGCCCTCCTGCCTAGAGAGGCTGAGAGCAGAGAGCCACCTCCCAAGCGGGGTTTGGAGGCTCAGCCTGGAGCTCAGCTGGGAGTGAGGGCAGGTAGGGAGACTCGACCTGGGGCTGCGACAGCAGGTAGAGGAAAGAAGTTCTCAGCCACAGAGGAGTTGCTGAGAGCCAGGCTGAGAGAAGTTAGCAGCTGGGACCAAGGATATGACAGGAACAAAATACCACGAGAGCTCAGAGCAGGTCCCTGCATGCAGCCAGGGCTCCCACAGCACTCCTGCTGAACCCAGCCGAGAAGGGACACCCACCTCCCAGTAAAAGTGGGGTGAATTTAGGCGGGGAGGTGAAGTTATTTTTCTAAACGTTTCCTCAAAATGCCTTAACTCCTTTCTTTGATGCTCCTATTTGTGCATTTCTTGTCTCATCTGTAGACTGGATGACCTGCTGGCAGAGGCGTGACTTGGGGGAGGATGGAGAAAAAGTCCCCAGGGCCCCAGGACTCACTGGCTGATGCCCTCGAAGGAGGCCTCCCTGCAGACGCTGCCGCTGTCTGTGTTGACGCCACGCTGGGGAGAGAGAGGGAGGATGAGAATAAAGACGTGCACCCCACAGCCTGCACCTACCAACATCAGACAGGTAAGAATGGGGAGCCCCCTCACCCCCACCCAACCTATCCCCCCTCTTGCCTTTACTTGACAAGCGACACCCCCAGCCAGGTGACTCCAAGCTGGGACCCAGCTCTACTCTCTCCACTGCAGCTTGCACAGCAGAGGAAGTGGGGGCCCCACAAACCCTGCAGTACCCCACGTGCACAGTAAGGTCTGCTCCGCAGATGGGTCAGAGCACAGGCTGATGCCAGCCCGGCTGCTCAGGCACAGATCTAGGCAGGACAGCACAGACCCCGGACCACCCTCACCACAGATCTGCTCTCCCCTGCTGACCTATCTCCTCGCTCCTGCATATGGTGTGAGGTCCAAGAGGGCCACCACATCCCGAGAGAAGGGCAGGACCTGATTCAGGCAGAACTAGTGTGACCCTGGGTCCCACTCCTCTCCTCTTCCTAATTATAGGAGCCTCCAAACAGACAGGGTTGGAAAAGAAATAAGAGAAGCACAGAACCATGTGCCACTCTAGGGAGGAAAGGCACTTTCTTTTTTTTTTTTTTTTTTGAGACAGTCTCAAGCTGTCACCCTGGGTAGAGTACCATGGCGTCTTAGCTCACAGCAACCTCCAACTCTTGGGGTCAAGCAATCCTCTTGCCTCAGTTGTTGTTTTTTTCTATCTTTAGTAGAGCCAGGGTCTCACTTTTGCTGAGGCTGATCTTGAACTCATGAGCTCAAGTAATCCACCTATCTCAGCCTCCCACAGTGCTAGGATTACAGGCGTGAGCCACCTCGCCTGGCCAGGGAAGGCACTTTCAATCACCACTTCTTAGCCAGAACATCAGGTCTGAGAAGCTGTACACCCAAATGAAAGACACTAGACCACCTCTGACCATAACCTTCTAACACACCCTTCCTCCTTAGCCATCTAAATTGCAGAGTGGGAAGAAAGAGACCAAGTGCTAAAAGAAAGAACCAGGACAAATGATTTCTATAAAAATCAATTAAGGAAAGAGACAAGGACTGCTGGGAGAGGGAAGAGCTGTGGATACGCTTCATGTGTGAAACTCCCAAGGTCCAAGGAGGACAAGGGGACGTGCGTCCTCTCTTAGAAACCCCACGGCCTGGATGCCAGGAGCCCACCACACCCCCAACCCCAGGCCAGGCCCTTAGTCGGTCACTCTGACCCACAGCCCAGCTCCCTCCAGGGCAGATGCCAAGGGTGTGTTTTCAAATCTCACTAATAAGAGATACAGGGTGGGAGAGAACTGAGTCTACCTGGGGGGTGGGGGGGGGGGGGGGCGGGCGGTTGAGCTATAGGCGCCGAGCCCAACGTCCCTTTTCTAAGACGGCCAACCTTTTCTTTTCTGTCATACACTGAAAAAAGAGTTGCCTTGGGCCACACCTCAAATGCACAAACACTAACAAAAGCTGATGAGCAAAAAAAAAAAAATTCTATGCATACTTTTTGTAGTATCTGCCACCGATAAGCAACACATTCCTCAGTCAACTGGCCTCAGATTGGACACCCCTGGCACATCCACAAATCCCATGAACTCAGCCTGACACAAATACATCATCTGGCTGGGTTTTCACCTTGAAACGGACATAGTGTCTTGTCCACCATGCCTCATGACAGGACACAACACATCCCAGGGAGACTCAAGGCTGGGGTCTTGGACATGGTCAGCCATTTGGACCAAGCTACTGTTGCTATCTACGGGGGATGAACACTTCTCTCAGCTTCTTAATGCTCCCCCGACCCGTGTCCTGGCACCTGCCAAGGGCAGGAGGCTCCCTAAGCCCCCTCCCCCATGCCAAACACTGACCAGCCCCTGGACACTAGCCACTTACCAACGTGAGGAGGACAGAGGGCTTCCGTGACGTCAGGATGCTGGCAATCTGCAAATTCAGAAAGAAAATCCACTTTAGAGAAGGCATGAAGACAAGTGACAGTAAGGAGACGTCATCTCTTTACTTAGTAACTGACAGTACACGTTTATGGAGCAGATTCTCACAACAGTCAATGCTGCCGGGGCACTCATCCTCCACACCAGGAAACCCAGGCTTACACAGGGGAAGGACTTCTGAAAGCCACACAGCTATCGAGGGGCAGAAAGGGTAAAACCTCAATGGGGGGGGGGCGGTGCCTGTGGCTCATGGAGTGGCCACATATACCAGAGGTGGCAGGTTCAAACCCAGCCCCAGCCAAAGAACTGCAAAAAAAAAAAAAAAACCTCAATGGGGCATGCTTCCTATCATGGCTCGAAAGAGCCGGACCTGCCCACTCTCCAAGGGCAGTACCCCTGCCACCTGCCAAGTCCTTCCTCCCACCCGTCCCAAGCACACCCTTAAGCACCAGCTCTACCAGCCTCCTGTCCCCAGAGCACACAACCTTCCTCCCTGCCTCTCATTATCTCCTAGATCAAGGCCAACAAGCCTTCCCAGCCCCTCCCTTAGACCCCCACCCCACACCTCTAACCCTCCACCTTGGCCCACTTCGCCCAGTTGCTTCCCACTGCACCCCTCCCCCCCGAATGCTCATGCCAATGCTCATCTCTCCATGACTCTGCTGGGGCTCTGGCCTCCACCTGGAGCGGCTTCCCCCTTCCCCTACCTCGGCTGCCTCATCAATTAGCTCACACTCAGGATCGAAGCCCCCAGCCCTCACCCCACCCTGGGGGGACTCCTTGACTCCCTCTTCTATGCCCCATGGACAACTGTCATTCCCCTGTGCCGCATGGGTGCCTACCACCCTGCTGAGAGCAGTGTCTTCCTCTCTGGGCCCCTCGCCTAGTCTGCCCTGCACCTTGGCTTCTGTAGACCCCACTGTACCTGAGCCCCCCAGGGCAGAGAACAGACTCTTCCCACCTGGGGAATGTGAGGGGAATGCGAGTTATTTCCACAGCTCAACCACCGAGCCACTCTACACTGCACGTATTTCCAGGGGACATTCTGATAAGTTTTGACATATGTACATACATATACCTTTTCTGATACTGAGATGCTTCCAGACAAAACCTGGAATGTACTGAAAACTATAAAAAGATAAAAATGCGTGTACAATCCCACCCCTGGAGACTGCTTAGCTTCGCACGTGAAAACAAGAGCTCTGGAATGACATCTGGATCATAGGAAATGACACGCTTCACTTACTTCCTGTCGTCAAGCATTCGTCAAACATGCAACCTTTAGCAGTCACTGCCGCTGGGGATGGTGAAGCGTCCGTGAGTCAGTGACGACGTCCTGGGCCTCACCTTAGACAGCATGTCATTTAACCACCCACGACGACGACAGAGTCACAAATGAGGAACTTCACGGAGGAGAGAGGCCGCCGAGGTTAGAGAGCCTGCCTGGGCTCACAGTTAAACAGCAAAGCTCAGCTCTGAACCTACAGCTGTACAATGCCCTCTCCTGATGGACACGGCTTCGTTTATTCACCTGAATTGCTTCTGATTAGCTAGTATGAACAAGGCTGTGATAATATCTTTATATACACACACAGAGCAGTGATTTTCAACCAGCGTGCCGTGCGAGGATCTTAGGTGTGCTGTGAAAACTCTCAAAGATCATTAATTATTTTCAAAAGAAGTTCAAAGCAAAGTACGTATTTTTACTCTGTTTTGGGACCAATATAATTTAAGTGTGCCGCAAAAGGTTAACTATAGGTCCAAGTGTGCTGTGAGATAAAAAAGGGTGAACCGCTGATCAAAGGCTTTAAGGAAATTTCCTTAAAATTCCTTGGCTAAGCGCCTGTGGCTCAAGCGGCTAAGGCACCAGCCACATACACCTAAGGTGGTGGGTTCGAATCCCCAGCCCGGGCCCGCCAAACGACAATGATGGCTGCAACCAAAAAATGGCCAGGCGTTGTGGCGGGCGCCTGTGGTCCCAGCTACTTGGGAGGCTGAGGCTGGAGACTCGCTT